GGCACAGCAAGCAAATAAGGTGTGGACTCTTCCATTTTTGTTTTACTTATGGAGGCTTCCTGGAGGAGTAGGAGTATCAAACATATGGCCCATGGAGTCATTCCACATAGCCTGTTGGCCTACCAGCAGGCTCCCAGAAGTTGGGAGCGTAGCCAGTGGTGGGTGGGGCTGGCTGTGGGCCTTGGTGGACACAGCCCTTGGAGGCCGGTGGACTAGTGAACACTGTGAAACAGCCCTTGGATGCCCTGCAGAAACCAGACCCACTGCCACCGTAGCGGTGGCCACACCCACCACTCACCCTATGGCAGATCTGGTTTAGCAGGAGTCCTGCAGTCTGGATACAGATGGGCGGCCACGTAAGTTTAACACCTGTCTTAGAGTCTGTGAATGTGTGGAGTGCATGTGTCAAAATGGAACCATTAATAGGTCCTTGAAAGCAAACCTTTAAGTCAATTATCTAAATCAGGAAGTTTAATCCAGGTTAGAAAGTTGTTGCCCAGAGCTGTCCTATTGTGTACCGTTGAGCAACATGCCTGTTTCATTCTTGTCAATGTTTTTGCTATTGTGTTTGTGAGGAGAGGGGGCAAGAATAACAAAATAGCAGTTAATGTGAAATAGTCAGTGAAATTTAAGGAGATTTACGTTAATGAGCTATGAAGATAACTACCTTGGTCTCCACACTTCCTGAAGACTAACAAGGTAAATTTTGTCCCCCTCCTTTAAGCGATCTCTTTTGGCCAAGGATCTAAGATGGGAGTAGACAGTCAGTTATGTCTGTCAACAGTTAAGATTGTTGCGGCTGGCATGTCAGACAGCATCTTAAAGGAAAACAGTCTCCCAAGTGGAAAATCAACAGAAAATTATTTCAATTATTTCTTGTGTCCCCCCTCCTCATTTGATTGGATAATTTGCTGAATTAACTTGATGTTCTAAAAATCATTGTTAAACTACTAATCTACTGAGTCAACCCCAACTGTGACACTGATTTGATAACTGCATTGTTCATTTTTTACTACTTTGGGGAAATGATAGGGATTTAGCTAACACAATACATTTGTCTAATATTGTATTTGCTCATTGATTATCCTTTTAAATAGTTTCTTAAATAAGTATCTATTAAAATCATACTGGGCTGATTTTTCTTTCACATTTGCAACTGAGCTGAAAATTCAGAAGCAAAGGTACTTACATGAATTATTTGAGAACCACTTAGCACTGCTTCTAAATAGATAATTTTATCCCTGATAATGCTGTACCAAGGTATCTTTGTTTCTAACAGCAAGGGATGACTCCTTTCTGAATGTCCCTTTTTCACATCCAGTATTTATACATCCACTAGCAAAAAGCCCTTAAACCAACTGAGGGTATTAAAGGCTACTGGCAGACCTAGGAGTGAAAACACTCAAAAACAAAATTTACCACTGTTAAGAGGCTGTAGCTTCTTTCATGCAAGGTATATTCTTTTTAGGCAATTGAAGATTAAGAAAGGGTCAAACAGCAAAAACATACAGAAAGGATAAGAGAATTGAACACTCTATAGAGAAATTTGGTGAGAAGACACACAGTACAGTACATTCAGTAAGAGTGAATGTTGAAAACAGGACTCAACAGCATTGTTGAACTACATCGATAGACTAAAACTGGGTTTCTTATCCTTTCTTTTGGTATGCGAAATACAGAGTTTTTCAGCAGTGCTTGAAACAAGGCATTGAACAACAGTAAACAGGTTTTCTTTTTAGTACAGTATTGAATTCTGCAAACACGTCTGCTGCTTCAGAATACAGAACATTGTTAGATTGATATGACAAAAGCACACTGACAGGTTGTGATGGAGTTTGGTTGCTGTATCATGAGACATTCATATTCACAATTTGCCTAGTGAGCAAACTGTTTCACTGATAAGGAAGTAAGCATAGCAAACCAGTGCAACCTGCAGATGTGTATCCTTCCTAGAGCATCAGTAGGATAGAGGTCATCTCTGAGAAAACCACCCGATCAAAACTGGATTAAAAGGCAGCAGCACCATGGCAGCCAAAGAAACATCAGGATTATGCAGGTTTTGAAGGGACATCAGCCTTCTGTTGTCAACTAGCAGCTCAGCACTGAGTCTGCTTGAAAATTTGTTCATACACAATCCTTTGAAAACTTCCTATACACTGCTGACAACTAATGGCACAAACCTTTTTTGGCCCTTGCTGAAGAGCATATCATACAAATCTGGCAACAATCAGTTTTATGTTGCACAGGTCAATGAACACTATTTTCTGACAGAAAAAAAAAGATTGGAGAAGCAGCTACTTGTATTCTGCGGGGTTTATTTTACTTTATATATATATATATTTTTTGATAGAACTGACCCATATCCAAAAAAAAAAGAGAGCCACCCATCTGCAGTTTACATGGATCCTGCATTAGGAATAAGTGACTAGCAAGCAATTCAGCTCTTACCTCCTCATGCACTCCAGAGCCTGGGTGAAAACCTGGGGAGCCATTCCATGTTCATGCTGCAGGATCAGGCACTGCTCTAGGGTCACGGACATGGCTGTTCTGTCCTTGGCACTTTTACAGCTTGTAAATCGAACACCATTTAGTCGGCGGCATATCTAGAAATAGAATACACAATTCATCACTTTTTTATGGAAAAACACTGACAAAGAGATCACATTCCCTCCTCTGGAGTAATACCAATAAGATTTTTGATCAACTCATTTTACTGACATATTAGAAGACATATTACTACAGCTAGTACTAGGAGGAATGTGTCTCTAGTCACCGGTGGTGTGGGACAAAAGGAATGTAAGATTGGAAAGGATTTCCTGGGCCACTGAGTCCAGTCCCTTGAGTTTGTGGGTAATTGTTAACCAGAGGAATCCCCAATTCAAACCCTTACAACTACCAGGGCTGATAGCACTAATGCCAAGAACACCCCATATAAATAGTCCTAGGTAAAAGCAGGAGAGAGAAGGAAATTACCGAGCCCTTGCCACTGCAATGACATGGAAGTAGTTGGTCATTATGTGCTCAGAAGTTCCTATCTTATGCTTTATGTTATAGAAGAAAGCAAAACCCCTATAACTTGTGTTAGTCTGACCTAAAAGAAAAATTTCTCCTAAAGCTGTTTTGAAAAGATACATTAAACCAAGATGGGAATAGCCATTTTTTTTAATTTTAGTAAATATTTTTAGAAGTGTTCAATCCATTTTTTCCTGACATCTTCTTGTCACAATGCTATTATTCTCAGGGCTGGTGTTGAATGGCACTAACCCATACTAAAGCAGTGACAGCATTTAAAAGGAGATGCTTTCCTTTTCCACCTCTCAACTTGGAAGTGTGAGGAAGGGAGCACTTTAAATTTACTTGCAAGGGAATGGAGAAATTTGGAAATACAAGTGAAAATAAAAACACACATGTGAAAAAAGAAAGGGGAATATGTATTGTACACATTTAAAAGACCATAAGATTGTAAAAATATTTAGAATAATGAATACCTCAGCAGCTTGCCAAAGAATATCAACATTTTTATTTTTCCTTGCATGTACATTCTGTCCCAGAAATCTTAACAGTTCAGGCAGGCACGTCTGACTACGAGATCGAGGTAGGCCTACAAAATAAGAACAACTCTTTTACTGGTGTGCTCAGTTTCTACACATGGAAGGTTCATCTCAGTTGTTAGAAACAGTGCTCCAGCTAGAAACAGTGTCACGATCTCTACAATGCATCAGAATTTCATAATAGCTAAGTCTATTACCAGCAAACTGAATTACAACTTTACTTAAAGCTAAATTCAATTTGACAAATATTTTAAAGTGGTACTTGGCTTAAATACTATACAGCATAATAAAAATCACTCATATTTCTTCCTTCCAGAAGCCATGGGGTAATGGGACCCAATGTTTTTGGCACGAGTACCACAAATTAAGCATCATGCCCTCCTGAGTGACACTCTGATCCCCAGAGCTGTCCCTAGGGGTGTGCAGGGCCTGGGGCACGTCAGGGGTGGGGGTGAGGACCACCTGTAGAAGCTGGCAGCAGCATCAACAGTGGGGGGGGGGGGGGGGGGGGGTGGCGGGGG